TCTGACATAAATCTGCTCACAGCTCCCACTGCATGGGCAATGTCAGGTCTCGTGCATACCATGGCGTACATAAGGCTTCCGATGGCTGAAGCATAAGGAACCTTAGCCATGTAATCTTTCTCTTCATCAGTAACAGGGCACTGCTCCTTAGTCAATCTGAAATGACTAGCTAACGGTGTGCTGACGGCCTTAGCACCACTCATCCTGAATCTCTCAAGCACCCGTCGAATATACTCGGCCTGAGATAGTCGTAGTGTGCCTAAGAGTTTGTCTCTGCTGATCTTCATTCCCAATATCTGCTTCGTTGCGCCTAGGTCCTTCATGTCAAACTCACTCGATAGCTGCTTCTTCAGCTTCTTGATCTCTCTCATGTCTGAGCCGGCCACAAGCATGTCGTCGACATATAGGAGCAGGATGATATAACTCTTGTCAAACTCTTTGACAAAATAGCAATGATCAGCATTGCACCTGGAGTAACCGTTCCTGTGCATGAATCCATCAAACTTTTTGTACCATTGCCTTGGAGCTTATTTTAGGCCGTACAAGCTCTTCTTTAATCTGCATACTATCTTCTCTTTTCCCTTCTGAGTAAACCCCTCTGGCTGCTGCATATATATCTCTTCCTCTAGATCACCGTGGAGGAAAGCTGTCTTTACATCTAGCTGCTCGAGATGTAGATCTTCAGCTGCAACAATACTCAGGACTGTTCTGATGGTAGTCAGTTTGACTACTGGAGAGAAGATTTCTGTGTAATCAACTCCTTCTCTCTGCTGAAATCCTTTAACCACCAATCTGGCCTTGTATCTCTTGGAACCATCATGTTCCTCTTTGATTCTGTACACCCATTTATTGCTCAAGGCCTTTTTCCCCGTTGGTAGCTTCGCAAGTTCCCATGTCTTGTTGGTGTTCAAGGATTTTATTTCATCTTTCATGGCGAGCTCCCACTTGCTCGCATCATCCACTCGAAGGGCCTCATCATAACTTTCTGGCTCTCCACCATCACTCAACAATAGGTAGTTGAGATGAGCTCTGGGCTGTAGTGATGGGTACTTCGGATTAGGCTTGGGGACTCTAGCTGACCGCCTAAACTCTCTGACGGGCGAAACAAGCTCTCCATCTTCATCTGCCCCCTCTGAAGTAGTCTCATCCATCAACTCTTCTTCTTCATCAGAACTAGCTTCAGGATTGCCTCCACCTGAGGCATAATCTGACTCGAAATATGTAGGATCACTCTGCATCGAGCTAGTGGGCTGAACTGCATCACGGTCTTTGTAGAGGACTGATTCGTTAAAGACCACATCCCTACTTCTGATGATTTTCTTGTTCTGCTCATCCCAAAATTTGTAGCCAAACTCATCACCGCCATAGCCAACAAAGAAACATTTCAAAGACTTAGGATCAAGTTTGTTTCTTGCATGATCACTCAGATGAACATAAGAAACACAACCAAATACTCTCAGGTGAGAAAGGTTTACCTGCTTTCCACTCCATACTTCTTCAGGTATTTTGTGCTCCAAAGGCACTGATGGTCCCCGGTTGATCAAGTAGGCAGCTGTGTTGACTGCTTCTGCCCAGAATTGCTTTGGAAAACCTGCTTGTAACCGCATACTTCTGGCTCTCTCAGTCAATGTTCTGTTCATGCTTTCTGCTACGCCATTCTGCTGGGGTGTACCTGGCATTGTCCTCTCTAATCTAATGCCACTGTCATAACAGAACTTCTTGAACTCTGAGTCTTCACACTCGTCGCCGTTGTCAGAACGAAGCTTCTTGATCTTCAAACCGGTCTCGTTCTCAACCATAGCCTTCCATCGCTTGAAGACTTCAAACACTTCTGATTTATGTTTCATGAAATAGACCCAAGTCTTCCTCGAGTGATCATCTATAAAGGTCACGAAATATAACCTTCCGCCGGTGGATGGAACTGATGCTGGGCCCCACACATCTGTGTGACCTAACTCAAGCTTCTCTTCTTTAGGAGTTCTGCCAACCCTTTTGAAGCTTATTCTCTTTTGTCTCCCTAGAATGCAGCTTTCACATAAGTCAATTTCAGCCGATCTCAAACCTGGTAACTTCCCGTTCGATTGCATAACCTTTAGGCCTTTGCTACTCATGTGACCTAACCTCTGGTGCCACAAATTTGGGTCTTCACTGCCTTCAGCCACTGCAATGGAACCTCGTGCATCTATCGTCATGTAGAGAGATCCCGTCTTCGTACCACGGGCAACAACCATGGATCCCTTTGTAACCTTCCATGTATCACATGCAAAGGTTGATACGTATCCCTCTTTCGCCAATTGTCCTATGGAAATCAGATTTTTCCTCAAGCTAGGAACATGTCTCACATCACTCATCTTCCATGTAGACCCATTGAGCTTGATTTGCATGACTCATTTGCCAACAATATCACAAGGCTGATCATCACCAAGATAGACTTTTCCTAGGTTTCCTGAAACGTAGTTCTCAAATAAATCTCTATTTGAGGTAGCATGAAACGAAGCTCCTGAATCCAGCACCCACGATTCAGTTTTGCTCTCCAACGAACAGATTAATGCATCATCTGATTCTCCTGAGGCCACGTTCGCTTCAGTCTTGTTCTCCTTGTCTTTCTTGGGTTCTCGGCACTGATTTTCATAGTGGTCAAACTTGCCACAATTCCAGCAGTCTATCTCCTTCTTTCCCTTGCGGTTCCTGGACTTTGGCCTTCCGTTCCTCGAGTTAGATCTTCCTCGGCTACTCCCTCTATTTCTGTTTCTGTTTCTTCCTCTGCCTTCAAGATTCAACGCCGAACCTGAATTAGAAATCCCTTCCTCTTGTCTTCTTATTTCCTCAGTCATAATCATGTCCACCACCTCTGAAAACTTCAGCTTTGATTTGCCACATGATCCGCTGATCGAGATAACGGTACCCTTCCAACTGTCGGGCAATTGACCAAGTATCAAGAGGGCTTGGATTTCATCGTCAAACTGAATATTGACCGAGTTTAGTTGATCCGTGATCTCGTTAAACTCGTTCAGGTGTTCCTTGAATTTCTGGCTCTCGGACATCCTCAAATTAAATAGCTTTTTAATGAGATGTACCTTATTCGCCGCAGAGGGCTGCTCATACATACTGGACAACGCCGCCATGAGATCCGCCGTCGTATTCTGATTCTTGATGTTGAACGCTACTGATTTAGACAAGGTCAACCTGATCGCTCCAAGGGCCTTTCGATCCAATAGCTTCCAATCCGCATCCTTCATATCCGTCGGCTTCTCTCCCAATGGTAGGTATAAATCCTTCTGATAGAGGTAGTCCTCCATCTGCATCTTCCAGAACCCGAAGTTTGTTCCATCAAACTTCTCAATCTTGGATGTTTCCTTCTCAGATCCCATTGTCTCTGACCTCAAATCGCTCGCGCCGAACCTGGTCGCTCTGATACCACTTGTTGGGGATGCACAACCCCCCTGATGCGATTTGGAAATAGAGATTTAGGAGAGAAGAGAGAAAATCAAACAATCTCAAACACACAAGATTTACGTGGTTCGCTTCTCAATGTGAGAAACTACGTCCACGGCCGCCGCAGGAGAAAAATTCACTATTTTTCGTCTCTTTACATCATGCCCTAATCAACCCTTTTATAGACTTAAGGGTTTAACCAATAAAAAAGGAAACAAAACAAAACAGGTTAAAATTCGAAACTGGGCCAAAACCCGACTCCGGTCGACCGCCGCACCACGTGCGGTCGAGCGCGACGAATCATATTCCTGATCGAGCTCTCTGGACTTTGAGCGGTCGACCGCAGCGCCATGTACGGTCGACCGCGAAGCTGATTGCAGACTGGGCTTGCTCTCTGGACTTTTGCCGGTCGACCGCAGCGCCATGCTCGGTCGACCACGATGAGCTCCTGGCCTGTGCACCCAGCTGTGCACGACGTCGGTCGACCGCCGCGCCATGGCCGGTCGACCGCGATGCAGAAAACTGTCTCCTTCATCGTTTTGCTTGAACTTCTCCATCGTCGATCCTGTTCCTCCTGTTCCAACTTTGTTCCTCCTCTCTTCTGAAGTATAGGGCATGCTTGATAGTTAGACTTCACATATCCTAACACTAGCCAGCTAGCCTACCTCTGCTGTCTGAATAAAGTGGACTTATATACTCTTATCCCTGAAAGTTTTAACTAATAAATTGTCTGATTACTTGCTAAAAATTAGGGGTCTATATAACATGTATTTATATATGGGCTTTTGTGTTCATGCTCTCAAACATTTATATGACAAGTCTTTCCTTGCTGCTCTTACTAGCAAAATTGTGGCAATAGATTGAAGTCAAAATTTTATAGATTTTGGCATTTTATTCCATGATTTTCTGATAGAAAGATGAATACCCATCTCAAGTTTGAACAATTTCTATTTGACGTGTATCTTGATATGTATGGTAAAGATATTTTTATATCTTATAAACTGCATTTGTTCTTCTTAAGGCTATTTGCATTTTGTAATATATTAGTGATGCGTTGTTAGTTCATGACTTTAAAAGTTACCTCTAAAGAGCAAATACTTGCAGACTTTTGTCATTTGTATTTAAAAATTAATATCTTGATTGCAAGCTTAGAGTGTATACCTAGTGATTTGTATCAAACTAATTAAAGACCCTTTTAGGAATTGCATGATGCATTGTTCTACAGCCTTGTAGGTGATATCTAACATTAGAAACCTCTGTTTTTGTCTCAAATCCAGGAGCCTTGTAGGTGATATCTAGCATGAATATCCATATTATTATCTTTAGTGTTTGATAATTACGTTTAGTAATTCTAAATTTATTATTCTTTTCCTTTACATTTACTCCATGTTACATGGTCTGATTCTATCTCTTAGATAGGTATAGTTTTACACATTAATTTTTGATGATGAAACAGTTTAGGAGAAAATGTCAAACCAACAAAGTTTATAGGGAACGCGCAAGGGAAGAAGTAGGTGAAGATGATGGGAAAAAAGCTAGTTATCATAATTGTGTCTTTCAAAATAATGGTAGTTGGAGCATACCGTCATAGAAGAAGGTCTAGCATCAAGGAGATAACATGGAGTGAAGATGTGCGTGCTCATAAAAGAGCCCTCTGGATAGACACATTAATGAATGATACAATATGTCGGGAGCAACTACGTCTTAATAGACGTTGTTTTGAGAAGTTGTGTGCCATTTTACGGTCTAAAGGAGGATTGGTGACTTCTAGGAATGTCACGGTGAGAAAAGCTGTGGCATTTTTCCTACATGTTATTTCTCATAACTTGAAGAATCGAACCGTTGGAGTAATATTTTTTCGTTCCGGAGAAGCTATAAGCCGACAATTTCATACGATGCTCCGAGCGGATATGAATATTGGGAAGTATTATGTCAAACAAGCAGAATCCACAACTAGTTATGCCGGAGATATCAAATGGAAATGGTTTGAGGTAATAATAATTTGTTTTTTGGATACATAGATTCGTTCGTGCAAATATGTAATCTATATGATATTATGGGGTTGATTGTTAGGGTGTACTTGGAGAACTTGATGGGACACACATTCAAATGACTGTCCCTCTTGAGGATCAACCTAGATATCGAGATAGAAAGGGTGATATCAACACAAATGTCCTTGCCGTGTGCAATCCTAATCTCTAATTTACTTATATTTTACCTGGTTGGGAAGGATCCGCATCTGATTCTCGCACCCTTTGTGATGCTTTGTAGAGGCCTAATGGTTTAAAGGTACCAACAAGTAAGACATTAGCTTGGTTTTTATAGACTTTTCTTTTTTTAACTAGTTTTTTCATGTTTAAGCTAAAATGTTTATATTGATGACGTTGTACATAAGTATTATCTTGTGGATTTGGGGTTCACCAATAGTTGGGGTTTCTTAGCTCCATACAGAGGCACTTGGTACCATTTGAATTTGTGGCGAGGGAATACTCTAACAAATTACAAGGAGCTCTTCAATCTGCGACATTCATCTGCTCGAAATGCTATTGAAAGAGCATTTGGAGTGTTGAAAAAACGATGGGCCATTCTTAGAACATCAAACTTCTTTGACAAAAAGACTCAAGTTAGAATTATAAATGCTTGTTTTATTCTTCACAATTTCGTAAGAGATGAAAATATGGAAGAGAATGATTTATTGCGTGAGGTGGACGGGGAGCTTGAAAATACAAACACATTTGATAGCGACAATGAGGTTGATGTTGATTATATTACAAGTGCTCGAGCAACGGATGAGTAGAGTTTGTTCAGAGATGATATTGCTTTGGAGATGTTCAATGAATATCAAGCTCGGAGAGCTCGTGCTACTTGAGATTTTCTTTTATAATTATAGGTTGATGAGCTGAATTTCAAGTGTGATTTGACTCAATATGTTTCTGTTTTCTATATATGAATGGTTCATCTTTCTTTAATTTCTTTGTCTTGTTATTGGCAATTGCAACCATATTTCTGTTACATGACTTTTTCTTTGCATAGGGAACCATATTATATTTGTTGCTAATGTGATTTTACTTCTACAAGTTCTTAATAGTAAGCCTGCTGGTAGGTACGTGTGATTATTGACTTAATTGAGTGTTATTGTTGTTCTGTTAAGACATTACCCCATTATATTGATTTGTTATAATATCTTCTTTTTGATATGTTCAATGAAGTTTCTCTGACTTTAGAGTTTATCTACTGATATGATTTCCTTCTTTTTAAGGTAATGATTAGAAAAGTTAAAGAGACTTTGCCTCCTACACAAGAGGTAGGAAAAGGAGCTATCTTATGTTTGCGTCGAAAATTGATGTATTCATTACGGTATTCATTACAACTTCAGTCGTTACAATGAAAACAAAAAAAAGATAGTGTTTTTATAAGACTCTTACACAATGAAAGAAATAAAAGATTACAACTTTCGTCAAACAAACGCAGGGAGATCGTTTATCGATCGTCTGCTTGCGTGGGATCTTTGCCTGTGTCGGGGTTTATCCGTGGACGACCGTCGATTAGATCCGGTTGTTGAAAATTCGGCAGATCTTCGCCTTCGCCGAGGAAGAATTTGATTTGAAGCGCTGAGATCAACCAAGCGAAATCAGTAGCTCTTCTCGAGATCAAGACCAAACCTGATCTCAAGGAAATGGGGGAAACAGACGTCGGATCTCTCGAACTCTCCTTCTTTATGCCGAAGAATTCGCCAAGATCTGTCAACCTTCGCTGAAATTCGTGCTCCTTTGACTCCTCAATCCGGTAGCACCTCCTCCTCTTGATAATTAATCCCCCCGAGAAATGAGCACCCGAGCTCGTATTTATAAGATTCGGAAGCGGTTATTTGGATGAGAAAGAATGATTCGTCCTTATCTTCAGTTAATAACTGATTAACCATGTTAGGGGATGATATCAGATCATTTTGGATGCTCAGCAACGAGCAAATCCTGAGAAAAACCGTCAAAAACCGAACCGGGTCGAAACAACGCGCGCAGGACAAATCTGACCCTCGCTTGCGCGGGTCGGATTATTCCGACCCGCGCCGGCGCGGGTTGATTATTCCGACCCGCGCTTGCGCGGGTCGAATCATTCTGACCCGCGCGGGCGCGGGTCAGTTTGGTCCGTACCGCGCGGCGCGCTTTTGGTTTCGCTGATTTTCGTGTTTTCCGGTTCTTCCGGGACTTGTATTTTCCACCGTTTTGCATATTTGATCGTCTTGTTGACTTGCACGCTTCGTTGCGGGATTGACCGTCAACACGCGCGTTGGTTGATATGCGCGTGTGTTGATTGATACACGCGTGTTGACCGATGCGCACGAACTGATTGATGCGCGCGTATTGATTGATGCACGCGTGTTGATGGACGCACGCGAGCTGATTGACGCGCGCGTGTTGATTGACGCACGCGAGCTGATTGACACGCGCGCGTTGATTGATGCATGCGGGCCACTTGGTTCGTCGTTTCGCTTCATGTGCTTGCCGACGACAGATAATCCTCTTAGAATTGGATAACGACGTTCATCGTCTTCTCTCCGTCTCGAGCTGTGTGCAGGCACCCATAGGTATTTTTAGACGCCTACATCTTACTTGGAATCCACAAATGGACATGATACTGACGATCGTGTTTTACAATCAACTAAACCAAGGCAATAAAGGTGAGGGGGATTGGAAGCCTCAAGCTTATCAAGCTGTTGTTGATGAGTTAAAATCCAAATTAGGTTTGTCTATCACGGTGGATCATGTAAAGAATAGGGTAAAACTTTGGAAGAGACACTATGCCATCATCACTGAAATACGGATAAAAACCAAGTTCAGATGGGACGATGATAAGAAAATGGTGGTAATTACTATTGAGGACTTGGTAGATTGGACCAAGTATTGTGAGGTATGTATCATATAATGTGCTATTATATTCTTCGCGTTCCCTTTAGGTTAAGATATTCATGCTATATGTTGCCTGGAACATTACTTATTGTGAGATATTCATGCTATATGTTGCCTGGAACATTACTTATTGTGAGATATTCATGCTATATACATTTTGCTGCATTTGTAATTTATTGTGGCAAACACATATTTTTGTAGTCTTAAATTTAGTTCTTCTAACCATTACACTAAAACTCCGAAGTTATGGTGAGGATCAAAGATTATAGTTTTATATTAATTCTAACATGCCCCCACAGGTCGAGCGCCCCTTTTTATGGGTCGAAACCTGGACTCACATAGCGGTGTCAATTTTTAGAAAATCCGCATTTAATTCGTGATCGGTAGGATTTGAACCTGGGTTGCTCTGATACCATCTTAAATTTAGTTCCTCTAACCATTACACCAAAACTCTGAAGTTATGGTGAGGATCAAGGATTATAGTTTTATATTAATTCTAACAAGTAGATGGGGGGTAATCATACTGTAAGGGCCGGTTGATCTAAACTGGGAAGATGCTGGTTAAACTGTTGGGGGTGCTTTGTTTGATTCTGAGTACATGCTGCTCTTAATTTTATTGAATGGTAACACCTGTTACAGGATCTTGGAGCATAAGAGAGATCTTTGAAGCTATGAACATAATTTGAAGTTTTTCTCGCCTCCATAAATGTCACATGTCTTCCCTCTAAATCTCGAATTATTTTGTTTTCCTCCCTTTCTTTCTTTCTTATTTTCTGTCTTTGAATGAACAAATTTTAGAGAATGTACAAGGTTTGCAGAGTTCTGTACTGTATTTCCTTATTATGTGATTATGTTGCTGAGTTTTTTCATTATCCCTGGAATGTGACTCAGCATCGCATCCGGTCTAAAGAGTTGATGATTTTTTAAAAAATCCCCTCATCTTTTATATTTCTTGGCTTAATATTTTGAAATGCAGGCTTTGGATCTTAGTTGCACTTTTATGAATATAAGCATTCTTTAGATTTGATAGTGCTTTAACTGAACTTCATGTACACCCGGATGCAAACAGCTGCAGATCTTCGCGTTCATGCATACGGAAGGATATTTAATACATACATATGTAGATAGTTGTTTTCACCGTATTGAATAAATGTGTCACTACTAGATTGTCTCACTATATTTTTGTTTCTTCTCATGCTTGCATAGGTAAATTCAGATGCCAAGGCATATCAAAACAAAGCTATTGAGATCTGGGATGATATATATGTGTTAGTGGGAACCGATAGAGCAACTGGCGAGGGTGCAGAACAAATTGATGATTCTATTGTAGCTATGGATATGGAAGGTGCGAATGAAGGGGAGAGCTCTAGCAGAGAGGTTTCAAAATCTTCTACTTCTAAATCCAATAAGAAGCTCAAGAGTGGCCCTTTAGCAAATGCAGTAAGTGATGTTGGTGAGATGCTAAAGAAGTATCTAGTGAGTACGAACCCACCAAAAGCTGATTGCGAGGAGATTTATGCCGAGGTATCTAAAGTGAGGGGGTATTCCTCCACATCAATTTTTAAGGGCAGTTAAAAGACTCATTGATGGTTCTGCACATGATTTCCGAATGTTGAAGTTACTTCCAGACAATCAAAAGTTAGATTCACATGATTTCCGAATGTTGAAGTTACTTCCAGACAATCAAAAGTTAGATTGGATTATGCTATGTCTTGAAAACTCAGACTTACTTCCAGACAATCAAAAGTTAGATTGGATTATGCTATGTCTTGAAAACTCAGACTAAAGGTAAAAAATAACTCATTAACTTTTCCATTTGCATTTAAGCTCTTATGTGCATCTATTTTGTATATGCTCATATGTGCATCTATTTTGCATCTTCTTATGTGTGCATCTATTTAGTTCACGTGCAGCTGTTCCCTATATTCTCATTTGTCTCTTAGTGTATATCAAAATTTTCATATTCACCAATGTTTTAAAAGAGATGCAAATATGTCACTTGCTATATCATAGGATTTTCACCCTCATTTCCAAAATGCAAATCATATTTGGTTATATTGACCATGTTTCCCAATATATGTACATGAATCATGTATCCAGAAGAGAAAGAATAATTATATGATACATCTATTAACTGTTTAGCTGTCTTTATCAACTATGGAATCTTGTAGTTTCCTCACGTTAGTTTACAAAATCTCCTTTGTCGCCATGAGTTGTGCACTGTTATTTCCCATCATAAGTCTACATTATTTCCATGGTTATGTGTCTGAATGATTTGTGTGGATATGCACCATACAGAGCGCTATTATAGAAGCTTGAGATTCTATCCTGATGACATAAAAGTTGGCCTAGCATTTATGGTTATCTTGAGATTATTTCCATGGTTATTTTTCTTTTGTTTTCTTGAGATTCCTTTATAGTATCACACTTTAAAATGGATTCTTTTGTTTTCTTGAGATTCCTTTATAGTATCACACTTTAAAATGGAGCTCATTTGGTCTTCTTATTGTTTCAGGTGATTTAAGACCTCGCAAAGCAATATCACACTTTAAAATGGAGCTCATTTGGTCTTCTTATTGTTTCAGGTGATTTAAGACCTCGCAAAGCAAGACCTCTTGAACCGGGGAGAGAAAGCTACAGTAAGAAATACAAAGCAAAAGTGTATAAGCATTAGAAAGAAACTCTTATTTGAATCAGATGTAAAAGTTTTAAAGAAACTAGTGCGAGAGCAACTTACGCATGACATTGTATGATGGGGAAATATTAACTAAAATTGTAGCTCAAACATATTTTGGATCTCTAGTTTGTTGAATTGTTATATGCAATATTTGAAGTTTCTACTTTATTTATTGTTGAATTGTTATATGCAATATTTGAAGTTTCTACTTTATTTATTGTTATAGTTAATGGTGGATGAGTTTATAAAATTTTATTGATGAATGATTTCGGTTTCTACTTTATTTATTGTTATAGTTAATGGTGGATGAGTTTATAAAATTTTATTGATGAATGATTTCGGTCATTTTTATGGTGATTATTAGGTGAACTATTGACATTCAGGCAATCGAAGTTTTAAGGTATATTATCTATATGTTAAGTTAGCTGGATATTTGATATACTATTTGAAGCATTTATTTCCACCAATTTTGATGCATAACTTATGTAAATTGATTACATTATTTCTAAATTATCTTCGAGCTACAATTTTAGTTCAGAAATTAGAATTCTACTAGTTGACAAACAACTCAATTGAAAATTTTAAAATTGAAATTCTAAAGTTTGCCAAGCATGAATTTTAAATTGAATTCTGGAATTCAAATTTGAATGTTTCCCAAACAAAAAAATTGAATTTGGAATTCTAGATTTCAAATTCCAGAATTCAATTCTGGAAATTGAAATCAAATTCTCAAATCCAAACGCAACCTTAAGTTAATTATAATATAATATTGACATTGACGACAAAGCATGAGTAAGCTTGAATCAGACTTTATATGCGAACTAAGGTTTACCCAGAAACTTTCACTTTGCAGAATTAAAAAATAATGTGACATTCACAGAAAACCCACGTGGAACAGTACATCTAGATTACGCACCATCAGGTTGCTGAATTTTGACATCAGTTTCTGTAAGTTCCTGCTTTCCCTATTCAGTTGTCAAAAGTCCGATTCAAACAGCCACCTTCAGTCCCCAGAACCTTGGTTAGCTATGGGTTTGATGGACTCTCCATGAGCTTTCCCTTTGTTTCCTGATAACAATCAATCTTCATACTGTCCATAGATGGCAACTCAAGAGCTACAGATGATTCTGACGTTAACTGATCCTCTTGAACAGATACTGCTCTCTGACTATCTTCTGTCGTTTCAGAATAGTGATAATTTGCGCACAGATAGTGGTAAGAATCCAACTCAAAGGTTTCTCGAGGGTAGAGAGATCTGATGGCTCCACTGTAGAGAGGCTGCATTGCCCTTTTTCGATCAGGAGAATCACGCAGTGATATTCTACATACAGGACATGTTGGATGTTGTTTTAGCCATATATCTATGCAGCTGACATGGAAAGCATGTTTGCAGTAAGGAAGGATGCGCAAAACGTCTCTCTCTTGGTATTCTGCAAGACATACGGTACACCTGCAACCAATTTCGAGTTAATTAATCCAGTCATGAATAATCTGAAGAGTCGTTTGAAGTTAAGGAGTACTAAAAAATAATGCAACATAATATAAAGAATTTAAAGGAGAATTACCAAGTTATTATGAATATCTAGCGAATTTTCAAATTTTCAATGGTTCAAGTCAAGGACCAACCTGAGTAACATATTACTTCCTAACTGAATGTCTAATACTAATAGCGTCATCAAAACTATTTACCTCTCAAGTACAATTACTACAAAAATATTACAAGATATTTCTGTCCTGTCAAGAAATAGTGACAAGTGCACAACATGGATTTTATGCAATCTGTATTACCTAGGTACTTCTATCATGAAGCCGTACCGGCACCCGACAATTACAAAACACCGGAACGTACCGAACACACCTTGGACACTTCTATCATGTATCGTACCCGTATCAGAGACCGATACTCATTGGACAGTCCTTAGTATATGCATATGTTTATTCCAACATGTACTCAATTATATAATACATGATTTAATTTAAAACACTCGTCATACACTCCCTGGACGTTTATCCTTCACATTCATAATCTGAACTATGATTTTAAAGGTCGTTTGGGTATTTGTTAAAAATGAGTGGTTTTCCAATTTATAGTCTGCATAATAAAATAAACATTAAAATGCCATTGGAATTTTAATTCTCATAATATGTGAATGAAAAAATATTATCGATCTTATGTAAATTATTAATGTATACCAATATCTATACCCCTGTCCATGCAACGTCGTATGCAATCTTTTTGGAAACTAAGGTGAATAATTCCAAGATAAATACACCAACTTATAGCAGGGAGCTACCTACTACGTATACTAGCTCCCCGTATATAAATATTATCAAAGATGGATATATAATGTAGAAATAAACTACCGGCATGAGTTTCAAGTACTTATATGATCTACATAGTCTTATCGGCTGATTTAGAGCTGTCTGCTGACAGCAATGATGATCTTGCCTATAGATTACATACTACCCAAGTAATACTAAACCAAACAAACAAGAACAGCTTATAGTTAGGGTTGAACGCAAACCAAATAATTAACGAATATTTTGTTAATTGTTTGAGTAACTATTCAACTATAATCGATTTAGCAATTCATGTAACAGCAATAAGATATTTATTAGAATTTGAATTTATAAACAAAATATATTATTAGAATTTGAATTAAGCATGTGTATATTCAATTTGTTTATTTATCAAATATTCAATTAAAATTTGATCACTTACAAATTGTATTACACACACGCACACACACGTTGTTACATTTGTCACCCACTTAACATCTTTCTATTTAAGTTCTATACTAAACCTACAGAGTCTTAAATTAGTTTTTAAACCAAATATTCAAATTAAAGATAAATACACACCATAATTATAAAGGAATAATTTCAATTATGAAGTTAAATTTAAATATTATTTAAAAAGAAATTCTTTAGAAAAAAATGAAAGTATTTCTTTACCCAAATAAAAAACTCCGAATTATTAGTCCAATAAATATACTTTAGCATTCAATATACTAAAAGTATCTTTTTAGTTAAACAGTTTAATACTCAAAATGTTTAAATTATTAGTCAAAATGTTTAAATATATATACTTTACCTTATAACATATTCTGCACAAACAATACGTAACAACTTGGATAATGAACTGAACAGTGCTCTACAGACAGGGATACTAGAATAAGGTAAGGACGGGACAAGCAAGCATGATGCCTAAACTTGAGATAAAGAAGTAGCAGTCTTTAGTATGCCAAATATAACAAATGAGCTTAGTTTGAGCAGTATGCCATTTCTTCCCTTGTGGGAGGTTGCGCTATACCAGTGGTGGGTAAGAGGATTCTCAAATGAAAATGCATGGACATATCATTAAATTATAGACAACTTGAGCTCATGTTGCATGGAGGCTAATAATGGCTTTGGAGGCTCTAAGAACCGACCTATAACTGCTAAGAGAGAATAATTCCACCCTTTTAAGGGATTTATTTTTCCATCAAGGGAGGTTATTTCTCCTATTACTAGAAATTTTCTTACTTCAATATCTGATCTTATTCTTTCTTTGGGGCACTCCCTACCCATTTATCTCATTTTTCCTCCCTTAGTATAAACCTATTGGGCTTTAAATATGAGTAATAAGTTGCCTGCGTTAATTATAAAACAGTACACAAAATAACAAAATAGCATGCTTGCCCACAGAGTAACCCAAAAAAACTGCTCATGATTGTCATTGTAGGTAAAAAAAAATAAAATAGGATATCTATGATAGCCTTGTGATGCGTGATAACTTTGGAGAATTGAAGATGAAGTCAAAACTTTCACTAAATACTTCTCTTCCCCCCATCAAGTAGAACAACCACTCTATTCCCTCTCCATCTGTAATCCAAAAGGAACTAGTAATCTTCTAATAAAATAAAAATTTCATGTTGGACAGTTTTGGAGAATTGAAGAAAAAGTCAAAATGTTATCTCATCTGTAGAGTGCTAATTCATTTAGGATTGAAGAAACTATTTTAGCATAAGATATTTGATTTGAGTTTATATTAGATATTTGATCTGAGTTTACTAACTGATTTGAGTTTATATTGGGATATCTGATATGAATTTAAGATTTAGCTATAAGACTTGAAATTTGAGTTTGAACTTCTTAGTTATATTTGAATTAAGACAGGTTATTGGAGTTAAATTTTGACTTGTCTATAAACCTTGACTTTTCAGATTTTAATAAAGAGACTGATTTCCTTTATTGATGAAAATCCAAGGAACAAATTCATGTGAGTTTTGCATATGGCGTGAAGCCAAATCCTACACCTTTAAAGTGTGCTTCCTTCTCTTTTTATAACGGGGTGTGTGATTCTCAGCTTGTCAAATTTTCTCCTATACTTTATTTCTCATCCAGTAGAACAGCCACCCTATTCAGTCAGTTTCTTATCTGTCTTGCAGCATACAGAACCAAACCTCCACATCAAGCCGCCAAATTTCCTCCTCTGTTAAACTGCAGAAGCCAGCCCCATTCGCTGTTTAACTACAGGCCCAAACAAAAAACAGAAAGCCTCCAAGCAGCCCCCATCTCTCTGATTTTATGAGCTGCCAATGTTCACCGACCCTTTCCCATCACCTAAACCACCCAACAGCATAAATTTGCTGGTTGCCTACCCATTACCCATCACCTATATTCCTTCTATCATACTTCAAAACCTTCTCTATGTAACCATCGAAAGTTTGAACTCTCCTTGTGGGCTTAGATAACCATCTGCACTGGTTCCAAAACCGAAGAATAACAGTTTTTTGGTGCAACTTTTCAAATTTCAGGTTAACTTTAGCTTATAGTCCTGTTGTTTGTACCTCCCTCAGAGCTATTGTGCACTGTTTGTGCTTGTAAACTAGATTTTTTTTTTAATTATCAACAATAGCTTACTGGATCTTAAAAAGTGAAGAGGGGAATTGAGTGGTAGAAACAAAGTATGCAAACTAGAAAGGGACCTACAAAGTGTTGCAACACGTCTTTTGTGGCAGGTCCCTTTCTAATTTGCATTATACTTCGTTTCTACCACTCAATTCCCATCTTCACTTTTTAAGATCCAATAAGGTTTTGTTGATAATTAAAAAAAACTTTACAAGCACAAATAGTGCACAATAACACCGAGGGAGGTACAAACAACAGGACTATAAACTAAAGTTAACCTGGAATTTGAAAGTTAAACCAAGAAACTGTTATTCTTCGGTTTTGTCACAAGTGCAGACGGTTATCTAAGCGCACAAGGAGAAAGTTCAAGCAACTAGAAAGGCCTAATCTGAAAATCATAAGTAAATTACAAACAAGCTTTCATAGCCTAGCAACACTATGTAGGTATTTTACAGAATGCATGAACGAAAAGTGGAAGTTCCACTAGGCAGAAAAGATAAAGCAGAGGAAATTTTGCCCCACTCAATGAAATTACATTAACGTTCCGAACTGTTTGAGGTATTTTGAATAGAATATGATGCATCTGGCCCTCCATTTTGATTAGGTGACGCACAACTGCAGAAGGGAAGATGGCCACATGTAATAGTAAGAAGCTAAGAAAAGAGCACTTGTCCTTGATCTACCTACGAGCTGGAGTTCTGTGCAGACATACTTTGCAATAGTATAGTATCGATTGTTACAAATTGAATTTCAACTTGTATGCATATCACCTAGTCTCAAATTTATTGATAATATCATAATAAAATGCATGTATTATGGATTCCTACAGAAGGTTCAGTTATGACTTGAAACATAAATCAAGCTAGCAGAGTTTGGTTATTGATGCATTGAAAGGGAAAATGAAATGGTCATGAGTTATGACAATGCAACATAAACTCATAAACCGTAAGTCAGGAGGAGTTACAAAAAGAGGTGTATGATTAAAGAAGATTAGGCTACACATCAGATGAAGAACCCAAATTGGAAGGAATAAGGATAAGTAAAGAAGATTTGCTCAATAGAAACCAATTGATTACACCCAGAAGTCAGTCAAGAAAGCAGATTGTGCAAATACTGCAAGTTGGAAGACTGGGTATACGACAACAAACGATACACAAGAAAAAATTGGCCACAATTAACGAAGAATATTAGCAATAACACTTGAAGATGTTCAATTTGCCAACGTTGCTTTTCATGTCTAGGTTTGTGTTTCTGCACTAACTCCTTTTTTCATATAGTTTTGTACAAAACGGAAACCGAGTAACTTCTTATACAAACATTGAAATAAAAACCCAACATGCTTCGAAATACACACAGATACGTAAAAGCAGACTTGCACAAGCGAAAATATAGAAGGTAACAGCTATGATGCACGGATACGGATACAGGACACGGATACGACATAGACATGGATACGGGATACGACAAAATAAAAAAAATAGGATACGGGGATACGACAAGGAATTTTTTTAATAAATTATTATTATATATAGAAAAATTTATAAAATTCAACTAACAATAAAAAATATGAATCTACCACAAAATAATAAGTTTGTAAACAAAAAGTACCTCAAGATGAAGTGGAAGCTAGTCCCATGACTTCTTCATTGCCTTCATCATCAGATTTATGATAAATGACAACGTAATACGAAAATCTCGATTTAGTATAAATGAGTAACTTTCTTCATCAGATTTATGATAATAATATGACGTTGGGCTGCTGCTCGAACTCAAAAACCGGAGGAGATGATGATGACACTGGTGGTGGTTGTACTGGACGTGGAGGAGGAATGAAGGGTGGACTTGAGGAGTCAGAGGAAGGAGTCAATCGGCGGGACCGGATCGAACAGCGGAGGTGATCGAATCGAACGAGAATGAGCTGAGAGATTGAGAGAGAGGATTAGGGTTAGGGTTTTTTCTTTTTTTCTTTCGTTTGAGTCAACTGAGGATCAAATCGAACGGAAGATTTGAGAAATAGGGATGGGTTTTTTTTAATCGAACGATTCGGGTTGGATTGTAACAACCAAGCCCGCAACCTACAACCCGAATGAATCAGCCTTCGACGAATCCGAGCCGTGTCCGAGCTCCTTTGACCGTGTCCGAGCCACGAATCCGAGCCGTGTCCGAGCTCCTTTGACCGTGTCCGAGCCTAATTTGACCGTTAATCCGTGTTGGACATGGATTGACCGTGTTCGACACGTGTCGTGACGAATCCGTGTCCGATTCGAGTCGAACACGGATTCGTGGCCTCCGGGGGCGAATCCGTGCTTCAGAAGGTAACATGTAACAATTCATCTTGGAAAATCCTTGAGCATTTTAGAATTGAGCAAACCAAAACTGGCAATACAATATCTGACAAGCTAAACATACAACAAGAAAACAAAAAAAACCAAATTGGAAAATTGCCGACAGACCACCTGTACTATACCAGAAGTGCAAACAGACCCCCTGTAGGTCTGTTTGTATGGATAGAACCCCCGAGTGAAACTTTTTGACTCTTTTAAGAGTAAAAAGTAATTCACTCAAGGGGTCAATCTGCAACTTGGGCAAATAGTGCAGGGACGGTATCCATACCAATAGAATACAGGGATTCGTTTGCAGTTGTTCGATAATACAGAGGGTCTATCTGCAACCAACCTAGACAAAATAGAGATATAATGAACATCTTAGTAAGGGGAAAACTTACTGGGTATCTTTTCCAGATGAGAAATAGTCACCAAATTCCTCCGTAGGAAAGCTTGCTACTACAAAAGGCTCCAACCCATGAAACCCACGTTCAA